AGAGGAGAAGAGTGGGGCAGGCACCTGCTAATGGAAACGGTCAACCTGTCTGCAGCGGGCGAGTCACCCAACGCACCCAGCCGATTCCCCTGTCTGCAAATTCCAGTGAACAGCCGCAGGAGATGCAAATATGATTTGCTCTTCACATTCATTTAATGGGGTGGTCGTTCCAAATTTCAGCTTATGGATTGTTTGCGAACCCCGTGCTCTGGCTACAGCTTCCACTGGGGGTCTGTCTGAGAGGGGACCGGGAGCGGCAAATCCAGCCCCCTCGGCGCAGTTCCTAACGGGGCACCCAAAATCCTTTTGAAAACACAGGTCTGTGTTTCCAAAATGCCACCTCCCGAGGGGAGGGCAAGGGACCCAAAAGGGGTGCTAGGAGGATGGCCATGGAGGTCAGGGCTGTTGGACGAGGGAGGAGAGCGGAAGCCCTGGCGTCCTGCAGACGGGAATGGTCTCCAGCGAGAGCCCAGAGCAGAGGCTTTGGGCTAAGTTAGCAGCTGGGGGGAAAAAATAAACAAACAATATTAAGATGGGAAAAAGACAATGAGCTAAATGTCGTGCTGCAGTTACTGGTCAGTAATGGATGCCCAGGGCCAGAGGAACCTTCTTGGATGTCCATAAAAATACTTGAGCATGAAAGTGCTTTCTGTGCACAAAAATAATAGCAATAATGAAAAAAATCCCAACATCACTTAATACGATAATTTTATGGCAGGGAAAAACTAAAGCATAAGGAATAATTACACTCAACAGTATGAACAATGATTACAAAATTATGCAACTGATTAACCATGGCATATATGTAATTACTAATGAGTTTGATAAAATTTTAATTATACCTTGTTCTTTGGGGCATTCAGCAAGCCATGAAAATAATAATCATGTAGTGCTCTGTCACAGATGATTGCCTCAGACGGGGGAGCGGTGACGGATTCAGGGCTGTGCCACTCAGCTGGGACGAGCAACCTGCTGCCCCGGAGCAGCGGGGAGACGCTGGGGAGCAGCCAGGACGGCCCAGCAGCCCTGGGCTGGTACAGAAATGTTCCCAGCATGTCTGCTCGCGGGCTGCGCCACGCAACGCCCTCCTCACCGTGGGAGTTATCGATCAGCAAAGCTGTGGGACCCACTCGGGGTTTGTGCTACCCCCACCGGCCCCTCCAGCACTGGTGACAACACCACAGCCCAGACCCTCGGCTCTGCTTAGGTGCATCCGTAACAAACGGCACGTGCCCTGGAAAAGCCGAGGCTCTCCCCTTCCCCTGCGAACTCTCCGGGGACGCTTTCCGGGGCTTTGCTTGCCCCAGGCTGGGGACAGGCCAGCGAGGCTTCCCCCCTCAGCACCCTGCCAGGGGACGTACCTTGGTCGTCTTCACTTTGTTGCCGCTGCTGCAGCTCCAGCCCGAGAGGTCGGGCAGCACCTTGCACTCCTCCCCGTCGAGGCACGGCTCCATCTGGCACCACCACTTCTGCAGCACGATGGAGGCTGGGGGAGAGGAGGGCGTCAGCGGCCGCGCTGCGGCACGGGGCTCGGAGGACTGGCGAGGCTGCTCTGGGCTGGCAGTGCCTGGGGGACAGGGTGCCAGCCCCGCCTGCCTTCGGGAGGTGCGGGCGGGCAGGGCAGGAGGTGCAGCCCCTCTCTCCAGCACAGACCCTGCCGAGGAGCCGCTTGTCGGCTGCCCGGCCTCATTTGAGCCAACCGCTCCACCCGCCCCCGAAGCACCCTGCTTCCTCTCCCTACCCCAGGTGAAAAGCCTGACGACAGCCCCGTCCTCGCTCCCAACAAGAGTAGGGAGAGCGCTGTTCACTAACCTACTGCAGGCTCCTCTTACGGAGGCAAAGGGACTGTCTACCACTGCTCGACTCTGTTAGGCTCTTGTAATTGATGCCTCCAACGGGGGTAACCAGAGAGGGCTCCCCTACCTTTGGGAAAGATGACGCACACGAGCTGTTTGGGACGGCGAAAGCCTTCCCTGACAATTCATCCTGGCATTTCTTGGTGTGGCACACAACTGTGCTCACAGGACACTGGCTGGCAAGCGAATAGATACACCGCTGGGAGAAGCTCACTACGGCGAATCGATCCCACGGTGGCAGAAGCTGCAGCTGCTCCCGCTGGCTCTTCGGCGACGCCACGTGATGCCACTCGATAAAATATACATGGCTGGAGCTTTGCTTAGTGCTCCTCGCAGGTGATGGTCTGCATGGCTGCAGCACATCCCTGCAGCAGCGCAGTGAGCAGGTGCGCAGGGATCAATGCTGCGGCACCTGGTCCCAGCGCAGTGACGCGCTGGAGGAGCTGGAACCGTGGGAGCCCCAGAACCCACCCATGGCACACAGCCTGGGGCTGCACAGGGCGGGGAAATGCAGCCACACCAACAGAGAGTGTCCCCAAAACGCTCCCTCTGCCCCTCTGCTCTGCTGCAGGAGCCCCCGGGCAGGTCTCCTCTGCTAATACCGGGGGCACAGAAACTCCGCGCCAGCCTGACCGACCGGGAAGATGCAGTCGGGGGGGTTCATGGCACCCGGCTTGCGGCCGCGGGGTACTCACCATCCACGCAGGAGGGAGCTGCCCGCGTCGTCCCTGCCACCTGCCCCGGGAAGCAGGAGCATTTCACCGTCTGGGAGCGCTCCTCGATCTTGTTCTTATTGCAGCACCTGTGAGCTGCAATGACTTCACACGTGCCGGGCTCTACGTGCACTGCGAGAGGAGAAACAGCCGCCGTCACG